TCTCTCTCTCTCTCTCTTTTCTTTCCTCTCTCTCTTTTCTCTCTCTCTGTCTCTGTCTGTCTGTCTCCTCTTCTTCTTTCTTTCTTTCTTCTTCTTCTCTCTCTCTCTCTCTCTCTCTTCTCTCTTTTTCTCTCTATCTATCTATCTACCTATCTATTTATCTATCTATCTCTGTCTATCTATCTATCTACATCTTCTCTTTCTCTTCTCTCTTTCATCTCCTCGGAGTCAACCGTAATCGCAATTTCACAAGCAGACACGCACACACGCACGCACGCACGCGGACGAACGCACCCTCTCGTAATTTTCCCCTACGTCCCTCTTTCCTCCCTCCCCCCCCCTCTTTCCCTCTTTCCTGCCTTCCCCCCTTCCGTCTCCTCTCCCTGCTTCCATCCCTCCTTCCTGCTTGTCTCGCCTGCTCGTTTTCCTCCTCCTCTTTCTTGTTCCTTTATGTGTTTTCCTAATCTCTCACGTCCCTCGTTATTCGTTTTTTTATCCTCTATTTCTTTCGATTTCTTCTCTTTTTCTTTATAACTCTTCTTCATTTCCGTTTCTCCTCTTCCTACTCTTCGTTACTGATTCTCGTCCTCTTCCTCTTCTTCCTGCCTCCTATTCCACTTTTCTTCTCCTCTCTCCTAGCTCTTCCCTCCTCCTTCATCCCTCCCCTCCTCCTTACCCTCCCCTATCGCCTTCCTTTTCCTCCCTCCTCTTTTCCTCCTCTCCTCCTTCCCCTCTCCTTGCCCCTTCCCCTCCTCCTTCCCTTCCCTATCCCTCCCCCTCCCTCCTTCCCTCTCCCTTCCCCTTCCTCTCCTCCCCTCCCCTCCTCCTTCCCTCCCTTGCCCTCTACCTCTCCCCCTCCTCCTTCCCCCTCCTCCTTCACTCTTTCCCCCTCCCCTCCCTCCCCTTACGTAAGCCTACCTCCATCAGCGTAGCGTCTATTTAGTTCAATTTCGACGTAGGCCTCTTTTTTAAACGTTTTATTTCTCCCTCTCCCCCCCTTTTCCCCCTTCCCCCCTTCCCTCCCCACCCCCTCCCCAGTGGCGACCTTGTAGGCCACGGGGGCGCGTCAATATTTTTTTCCTTCTTTTATCTCTATTTCTTTTTTTCTTTTTTTTTTTCCTTTGCCTTCTTTTTCCTGTTTGTAAGTGAAGAACGATTTGTGGAAGGGAGAAGACGAAGAGGAGGAGGAGGTGGAGAGGAGGGGGGGGGAGGGAGGAGGTGGTGGGTAATGATGGAAGAGGAGGAGGAGGAGGAAGAGGGGAAAATGGAGGAGGAGGAGGAGGATAAAAGTGGAGGAAGGGAAAATGGATAAGATGGTGGAATAGGAAGAGAGAGAGAAAAAAAAGATAAAGCAAAGAATACAAGAACATAAGTTAAAATAGAAAGAGAAACAGGAGGGAGGGAGAGAGGGAGGGACTCGGAGGAGAAAAAAGTAGGAGGAGGAAAAGGGGGCGGGGGGGGGGAGGAGTTGCCGATGCCAGCGATCCCTCTCCCGACGAGAATTATGGCGGCCTAGGTGCGTAGGCCTATCCACAGCGGCGGAAGTTACAGTAGCAGTTATGGTGAAGATACGGAATTGAAATCTCTCTTTTTTACAGCCTACATATATATATATATATATATATGATATATAATATATATATATATATATATATATATATATATATATATATATATATTATATATATATATATATATATATATATATATATATATATATATATATATATATATATATATATATATATATATATATATATATATATATACATAATATATATATATATTATATATATATATATATATATATATATATATATACATATATATATATATATATAGTATATATATATATATATATATATATATATATATATATATATATATATATATATATATTCATATTCATATTCTAATACATATATTGATTCTTCTTAATTTGAATAGAATTAAATCATTCCCATTATCCTTATCATTACTGTGATTATTGTTAAAAACTGATATCTTTATGATCGTTATATGTTGTTGTGAATATTGTTTTGTTGTTGTAATATTGAGTTGATAGTTATTTATTATAAATATTTTCGTCAATATCATCCTCACCATCAAAATCACATTAACTTTCACCATGAGCACCATCATCATAATCACTATCACTATCACTGCACCATTATCATCACTATCAAAATAATCTTCACTCATATCATCATGATCATCATCGGCTTTATCACCATCACAGACACATTTCTACTTTTTTTTTCTTTTTTATACACTTTCTTCATATTTTTATCACATCATTTTCACATTATATCACACTATATCTATCAACACGTGATGAGGTCGTTTCATCACATCATGTCGCTCATCACAACACCGTATTTATACCAGCCGTAACACTAGGTCGTTATGTGACCCCATCCGGTCGTTTCATCACACCATCTGCTTTTTTGCCACAATAGCAGGTCGTTTCTTCATACTATTAATATTTTGCCATAACAAGTGGTCGTTCTCTGAAACCGCCGGATTTTCCACACCATCGAGTTTTATCACACCAGCAGGTCGTTTCATCACACTATCTGGTCGTTTCACCACACCATCAGGTCCTTTCATCACACCAGTAGGTTACACCATCTTACCCAGGCGTTCCTAACTCACCCCCTTTGCCGCACCACCAGGTCGCTTTATCAACACCAGCAGGTCGTTCCATCACACCACCGTCCTTCCGCCACACCATCAGGTCATTCCATCACACCAGCAGGTCGTCCGCCACACCAGCAGGTCGTTCTATCACACCACGTCCTTCCGCCACACCAGCAGGTCGTTCCATCACACCAGCAGCGTTCGTTCCATCACACCAGCAGTCGTCCGCCCACACCATTATCACACCAGCAGGTCGTTCCGCCACACCAGAAGGTCGTTCCATCACACCAGCAGGGTCGTTCATCACACCAAGCAGGCGTCGCCAACACCAGCAGGTCGTTCCATCACACCGCAGGTCGTCCGCCACCACCAGGGTTCGTTCCATCACACCAGCAGGTCGTTCCATCACACCAGCAGGTCGTTCCATCACACCAGCAGGTCGTTCCATCACACCAGCAGGTCGTTCCATTCAACACCAGCAGGTCGTTCCATCACACAACACCAGCAGGTCGGTATCCACACCATCAGGGTCGTTTCCATCACACCATTCCAGGTCGTTCCATCACACCAGCAGGGGGTCGTTCCACCACACCATCAGGTCGTTTCCATCACACCATCAGGTTCGTCCATCACACCAGCAGTTCGTTCCATCACACCAGCAGCGTCGTTCCATCACACCAGCAGGTCGTTTCCATCACACCAGCAGGTCGTTCCATCACACCAGCAGGTCGTTCCATCACACAGCATCAGGTCGTTCCATCACACCAGCAGGTTCCATCAGTTCCATCACACCAGCAGGTCCATCACACCAGCAGTCGTCCGCCACACCAGCAGGTCGTCAGCTTCCCATCACACCAGCAGGTCGTCCGCCACACCAGCAGGTCGTTCCATCACACCAGCAGGTCGTTCCATCACACCAGCAGGGTCGTCCATCACACCAGCAGGTTTCGTTCATCACACCAGCAGGTCGTTCCATCACACCAGCAGGTCGTTCCATCAGCACACACCAGCAGGTCGTTCCATCAACACCAGCAGGTCGTTCCATCACACCACCAGCAGGTCGTTCCATCACACCGTCAGGTTCGTTCCATCACACCAGCAGGTCGTTCCATCCACACCCAGCAGGTCGTTCATCACACCAGGCAGGTCGTTCCATCACACAAGCAGTCGTTCCATCACACCAGCGTCGCAGTCGCGCCACCAGCAGGTCGTTCCATCACACCAGCAGGTCGTTCCATCACACCAGCAGGTCGTCCGTCTCCCGCTCACGTCACACCGTTGATAAACATCGCGGAACGCCGAGGCAGAACGGGTGAAATATTTGCACGGATATGAAGGTGTTAAGATGATGATATTATTTATTGCTGTGTGGCGGGTGTTGTGTATTTGTTGGTGCTGTTTTGTTGTTATTGTTGTTGTATTTATGTTGTTGTTGTGTTTTATTGCTTTTATGTTATTGTTGTTGCTATTTTGTTGTCGATATTGTTGTTTTTTGCCTATTTTGTTGTGTTGAAGTTTTTTTTTGTTGCTCGTGTGTTGGTGGCGGTTCCTGTTGTTGTTACTGTTATTGTCGTTGTTGTTGTTTCCATTGCTGTTGTTGATATAGTTGTTGATGTATTTGCTTATGAATATGCGTTGTGTGTGGGTTCTTTGTGTGGAATGTGTGCGGAGACCTTTTTTTAATGTTAGTTGCTAGTGATAAATGAATGTGTCCTGTTTACTTTTGTGTGTGTCTGAAAATAGATATGAGAGAGAAATATATTTTGTGTGTGTGTGTGTGTGTGTGTGTTGTGTGTGTGTGTGTGTGTGAAAATAGAGATATGAAGTGTGTGTGTGTGTGTGTGTTGTGTGTGGAATGGGTTTGCAAATAAGCAATGTGAATTATAACGATCAGTAGTTATAATCTTATCTATTTTGTTAAGCTTTGTTGTAAACATATGGATAACGATAACGATAAGGATAATGCTAAGGACAATAATGATAAGGATACTGATATCATCAAGGGTAATAGTATTTTAAGATATCGATGGTAGTAATAGAAGGCAAATATAAATGATAATTACACAGAAATGACCAACGAAAATAAAGAAAATAAAAAATTCACAGTAATAATGGTAATAATATTAACGAACATATAGATACAACGATACTAAAAGGAGCAAAGGAATCCATTTTTTATCACCTGAGGACTTCACCTTGAGACGTCACCTTCCTGGACAACTTCATTACGACCCCCTGGGTTCGTGCGTGCGTGCGTGCGTGCGTACATGCCCGTATGAAGACCCCCCCTTCCTCCCCCCACTTTTCTCTCCCTCTATCTACCTTTCTATTCTTTATTCCTCCATTTTCTTTTCTCTCTCCATTTCCTCCTCCTTCTTCTCTTCTCCCTTTCACCCCTTCCACTTCTCCCTCCACCTTCCTCTTCTTCCTTCCTCTACCTCCCCTACACCTCCACCCCTCTTCCCTCTCTACCTCCCCCTCCCCCGACACTTCCCCTCCTCCTCCCCCACCCCTCCCCTTCCCCTCCACCCCTCCTCCCCCTCCTGCACACCCTCCTCCCCTCTTTTTCACCCCTCCCCTTCTCCTCCACCCCCCTCCCCCCCTCTCACCTCATCCACACCAACGCCTAACTGAGTGATTACAGGCTAACCTCGCCTGGGTCAAAGGTCACACATAAATGAGAAACAAGAGTAGGCCTATGGCGTCGGCCTGCGTGAGTCGGCCAATAATCAACCGCCGATATGCCCGCCATTATCCGCAATCCGCTGTGACAATAATTACGCAGCGGATGTCACGGCTGGCGAATAATTGAGCGGAGGCACGGGAAGGCCGAGGCGCTGGCATTGGGCATGTTTGTTTGCGGTCGGGGGCGGTTTGGGTTTGTGTGTGTGTTTGTCTTGTGTTTGGTTGTTTGTGTGTGTGTGTCGGGGTGGGTTTGTGTTTGTTGTGTGTTTGTTTGTCTTGTGTGTGGGTTGGGTGGTTTTGTGTTTGTGTGTGTGTTTGTGTTGTTTGTCTTGTGTGTGTGGGTTTGGGGTGGTTTTGTGTTATGTGTGTGTTTGTGTGTGTGTCTTGTGTGTGTGGGTCTGGGGTGGTTTTGTTTGTGTGTTTGTTTGTCTTGTGTTTGTCTTGTGGTGTGGATTTGTGTTTGTTGTCTTGTGTGTGTGTGTCTGGGTGGTTTTGTGTTTGTGTGTTTTTTTGTTTGTGTGTTGTTTTATGCGTGTGGGTCTGGGGGTGGTTTTGTTTGTGTGTGTGTTTGTTTTGTGTCTGGGTGGGCTTGTGGTTGTGTGTGGTGTTTGTGTTGGCTTGTGTTTTGTGCGTTTGTTTGTGTCTGGGTGGGTTGTGGTTGTCTGTGTGTGTTTGCGTGTGTGCGTTAATGTTGTGTGTGCGTTTGTAGGGAATAAGGGGACATCCTGGCAACTTTTATATATTTACCTTTTTTTTTTTTTCCTTTCACTATTTCTTTCCTTTTTTCCCCAATTCTCTTCTTTTCTTTTCCTTTCCCACCCACCTCCTTCCCTTCATTCTCCTTATCCCTTTCTTCCTTTCCCTCCTCTTCCCTCACTTTCCCCCCACCCCTTTTTTTTTTCCTTCCCCTCTCTCTTACATTCCTCTGCCTTCTCCTTTTCCTCTAACTCCCCCACCCCTCTTCCTCCCTATCCTTGCCCCCTACGCTTTCCCCCCCCTCTTTTTTACCTTCCCCTCTCCCCCATCAACGCCCCTCTCCCTCTTCCTTGCCTTCTTCTCCCCCCCTTTTCCCCACCCTCCTTCCCTTTCCTTCCCTTCCCCCTTCCCTATGTGCACCTGCTATAGGCTCAACCCCCCCCCCCGCTACTCCCCCGCACACACATTACGACCCACATTTATCACGACCACGAAGGAGGGGGGAGGGGAGGTAGGGGGGAGGTCATGGGCCTGTTTTTCCTATACATCTTTGTGTCTCTTCACCCTCCTCCTCTCCTCCTCCTCCTCCCCCCTTCTCTCTCTCTCTCTCTCTCTCTCTCTCGCCTTCTCCCTCTTTCTCTCTCCCTCCCTCGCCCTTCCCTCCCACCATGTTCCCTCTCTCCCTACGCGACGCTCCTCCCTTCTCTCCCCTCCTCCCTCTCCCCCCTCCCCCCCCCTCTCCTACCTTGTGCTTTATTATATAGGCCACGTTTTCTCTTTGATTTTCGTTTTCTTCCACATTACGCGTGTTGGAAGTGCATTGTCCCTTCCCTCCTATTTCCTTCGTCTATTTCGCCTTCAATATATCCATTTATTTTCTAAAGTTTCCCCCAAAATCGAATCCTTATTAAAATTCACGAATGATTCGATGAATTTAAGACATTAACTAATACAAGACGTATGTGTTTTCTCTCTCCTTCGCTCCCAATCGGACTTAAACTAACGTATTTTTTCCTCCAGGCATTGCGGCAATGAGCCACCCTAAGCCGACGGGCGAGCAGTACATAGGCCTATGGCTGCGTCCGGATCCCTCCGTGCGGCCCCGTCTTCGTCTCCATCTTGGACGCCTATCGCCTACGCATCTGCCCTTCAAGAGTTCCTACGACAGTCTTATCTCCTCCTCAAGCGCTTGCTTATCTCCCCACGCGACGGGGAGAAACGCAGGATGCAATATACACTAAAAATCCGAGGACTTACATTAATGCAAATTACATCAGATGTCCGAGACTGCTTTTTGGCTCTGCCTGCTCGTGCCTGCTACAGGGGGGTGGGGGTAAAGGGAGGGGGATAGAGGGGGTAGAGGGGGGGAAGAGAGTATTGCCTTCGCGTGTTCTTCATGTAAATTAGAGGGGCGATGTATAGAGGGGGGGAGAGGGGGAGGAAGGGAAGGGGAGGGGGATTATAAAGGGTAGGGGATAGAGGAGGTACGGGTAGGGGTTGAAGGAGGGTAGGGGGATGGAGGCTAAAGGGGGGTAGGGGGCTAGGGGGAGCAACCAAGGACAGTTTTGTATGATAGTTATTCTGAGGACACCCGTGGGAGCGCCTCTATCACGGTTGTCACTAGCAGGGGAGGAGGGGGGAGGGGAGGGGGGAGGGGGTTGATAGTGGGGGGGAGATGGGAGAGAGGATGCTGACTTTCCTCTCTTTTTTTTATCCCTCCCCGCCCCCCTTCCCTCCCATGTTCATCTCTCTCTCGTTTTTTTCCTCTTCCCTTCCTTTTTCTATTTTTCTCCTCGTTCTCCTTATTCTTTCATTTATCCCTCCCGTCTATCCATCGTCACGATCATCACGATTTTCTTTTTTTTTTTACTCCTATCGAAAAAAAGAGGAAGAAAGAAGGGGGAAATAGGAAGAGGGAGAAAGTAAAAAAAAAAAAAAAGAGGGAAATAGGCCACAATGCGCATTTAATCTGAGGGTGCTTGAGGGGTCTGAAGTTATGGAATTGGTCGAGATGTTGACCCCGGGGTTTTCGTTCCCCCGTGACCCCCCCCCTCTCCCTTGGCTTCTGGGTGGGTGTCCTGTACCCCCTTTGTCCTCTATTTCCCTCTGAGGTCCTCTTCTTCTCTTAATTTTAATTTTCTTCTTTAATTCTCTTCTCTCCTCTCCTTTTTTTTCTTTTTCTTTTCTCTCCAATCTGCTTTTCTTTTTCTCTATCTATTCTCTTTCTTATATCTCCTCTTCTCTCCTCTCCATCCCCTCTCACCCCTCATCTTTCCTCACCTCTTATCTTTCTCCATCCTCTCTTTTCCCCTTTCCTTCCCCTCAAATTCCTTGCCTCCTCCTTCTCTTGTCCTTCTCTCTCCCCTCCTCGTACTCTTACCCTTTCCCCTCTCCTTCCCTTTCCCATATAATCGTGCCTTCTCCTTACCCCCTTCCTTCCCCTCCCCTCCTCTTCCTCCGCCTCCCCTCCCTCCCCGCCTCTTCCTCCCTCCTCTTTCCTCCTATTCCCTCCGCCTCCCCTCATCTTCCTCCCCTCCCCTTCCTCCACCTCCTCTCCCCTCCCTTCTCTTCCTCCCCTCCCCTTTCCTCCCTCCCTCCTCTTCCCTCCCCTCCCTTCCCCTCCCTCTCCTCCGCCTCCTCTCCCTCCCTTCGCCTCCCTTCCTCACCAGATATGTTTTGAACATCAATATACGAATTCTAAGAATGGGCAATATTATCTATCAATCAACTTTTAAGATATAAATGTACTGAATCTGGAATGCCAAGGAATCGAACGCAGAGTGGCTAGCGCATCGATTGACAGCCCCCCCCCTTTTCCCCCTTCCCCCCCTTCCCCCATCACGCCCCCCTTCTCGCACCGACGACATATATACTACGTTCTCGTATTATTTGAATTTCATGATTTTCATATCGGTAACAAATTGTTTGCGACACT